GTGTGTGCCTGTAATTATATATATATATGTTTGTGTGTGTGTGTGTGTGTGTGGTAAACAACAAAACTGTGTGTGTGTGTGTGTGTGTAGTTGTGTTGTGTGTGTGTGTGTGTGTGTGTTTGTGTGTGTGTGTCTGTTTGTTTGTGTTATAGAGAGTGAGAGTGTGTGTGTGTGTGTGTGTATGTGTGTGTGTGTGTGTGTGTTTACAAAATTATATCCTGGTTTAAAACCTGTTGCTACTTTTTATAAAATGTTGGACTCATAAAAAAATTTCAGAGTTTGTTTCAGGGGACAGTTGATCATTTCCATTAAGGAGCAGATCTAAGTCACAGTGAACTTGTAAATTCATATCATTCAAGCGTTGGAAAAGGACATTTCTGTGAATATTTCAACGATGGCATTCAAAGAAAAAGTGATAGGTATTTTCACACATATTTCCACATACACAACTATGGGTATCCTCAAGGTTCATCCGAAATCAGTTGTAATTAAGGGAACTGCAATTATGTCTAAGCTTAGTATGAATAATGTTTAGTTTACGGTTACCAATACCAAAGTTAGAAGGAGACAAAGGAAGATCGTTAGGTATTAAAGACTTTTTGAATAAGTTAAGCGAGGCTGATGACCTGATAGAGCTATCAAGTGTATTCCAACTCCGAAGAGTAGACGGCAAGGAAGAAGAAAGACGACAGAATGGGATTCTATAATTATTACTGTTTCTCGAAGGATAACGAACTTCATCTTGAACAGTAGAGGAAAGTAAGGAAGATAGATATTCAGGAGTTTTGTTAGTTTGCAAGTTTCCTTCTCTTTCTTCTAGCAGACAGTGATTCTAAACCAGTTTCAAAAGTTAAAGAATGAATATTAGCATAGGATGGCAGACCTGTGATAATTCTTGCTGCCTTACGTTGGGCCTTCTCTAGCATTTCAGATTCAGAAATTGAGCACCCGTCCCATAATTCACCAGGCCGACAACTCTCCTTCTATACCATAGGATCTGAATTTAATACACAAACCCTTATGCCAAACACGATCAAAAGCTTTTGATATGTCACAAAAGACTATACATGTATGTTTTTTTTCAAGAGATAAGCAAATATTATGATATATTTCAATACGCTGAAACACTGTAGAATGGCCAGGTAAAAAACCTGATTGATATTTATAGAACAAGGAATTTTCAATAAAATAATTGTGGATGTGTTTGAATATGACACGTTCAAAAACCTTGCCAACGATAGAAAAGAGAGATATTGGACGATAATTTGATGGAGGATGTCTATCACCCTTTTTGAATAGTGGCATAACTTTTGCTAATTTCCATAATTTAGGATAAATACAAGTAGACAATGACATATTAAATATTAACTCAAGAGGTTTACAAACTGAATTACAGACATTCTTTAGCATATGATGACTGATTTCATCATGGCCAGAGGTTTTGCTAAGTTTCAATATTTCTAAGACATCTTTAATTTCGGTATAGTTCACTAGGATAGAATTAAACTTTTTATTAATTTTTGGGGCTATGATGGGATCTGGGACATTATCCTCATCAATACGACTTATACTACAAAAATAATCATTAAGTACATCAGCTTTATCCTTATCACTCATAATGATTTCATCCGTCCTTGGATCTATGAGTTGGAATTGTATCAGATGAACCACTAGATTTCATTAGATGTTTAATTAATCTCCAATATAAGCTTTTGGGTCGGACAAAGAATAGTTATCTATTAGCCCATGGATATTTGTCTGTAGTACTTCTTCATATTGTTAAACTTATTTTTCTCAGTTTTAGACTGATTGATATTATGTTGTGTTTTTGTCTTTCTAGCTGTTTGATGTAAATTACCTCTTATTCGTATATTTTTTCTCAATTTTGTTGTCATCCATGGCTTATCATTTGATCTGATTGTTACAACTTTTGAAGGTATTGATGATTCTGCAAATTTCATAAAAACATTAGTAAAGGTTTCACAAGCAATATCGACTGATTGAGAATTTGTAAATGCTTCACTCCAGTCAAATTGATTGATAAGATCATTGAATTTACCAAAATCTGCTCGTTTATATAACCAAACTTTACGTTTGTAAACTGATTTAAAAGAAAATGGAAGTTTAACACTAACCGTACAACCATCATGATCACTGATTGACCTATCAATATCTGTTACATATGGATCTATACAGGAAAGAGATTCACTTAAAAGAATTGGATCAAGTAAACTTGATCTCGTATGACCTACACGAGTGGGTTCTAATATAACATTTGACAAACTGAGGGAATTCATTATATCTACAAAAGCATGCGTTGGTGCAACAGTTAATAAATCTACATTGAAATCCCCTGTAATAATAACATTTGGTGATATATCAAACGCCTATGAATAGCTGATCTAAAATTGTCCTAAAATGGTAAAACAGAATTTTCAGGTCTATAAATGGTGCCAACTATATAGGTGAAGTTACGAAAGGGATTTGTAGCCAGATGGTTTCATCGCTATTATATTCAAGGTCTGTTAATCTAGTTACTTTTAGTAAATTATTTACGTAAACAATAACGCCCCCACCAGCAAAATATCTATCGCGGCTAAAAGAAGAATGAAATACCGGTATAAGTAGGTCATCTATGGAAACATTATCGTCTAAGTGACTTTCAGTAAAACATAAAACATCCAATTCACCAGCAAAATCTTCAATAAAATCTGGCTTATTTCTGATATATAGATGAAATATTGAAAGCTCGTTAGAACCAGGGCCAGGATTCGATTCAACATCCATGCACAGCAATATCAAAAACATCAGTATGGTAAAGAAATGGAAATTCCTAAAACAAGAAACGATAAAGATAATAACTAAATTGATTGATTTCATCAATCTGTGAAAATGTATCATCTTAGAGTGGGATGTCTAAAAACATGTATTAAAGATAGGATAACAATTTGAATTGTTATCACACAATACAAACTTCAGAATTAAAACAAAGGACTATATTGTTTTACCAATGCTTGCATACATGCTAAGTATGCAAATAATATGCATGAATTTACAGCGGTTTTGAATAAGGTAAGAAATGAGTCATACTTATCAATGACATACAATTTATTACTAAAAGCAAGGGACTTACAATAAAATGTACCTATGGCACACCTCCATGTACCTATACAACAACCCAGCATGGAGGGTAAAAGGCATAATATCTATGAAAACGTGTATTTAGATTGAGGATGAAATTACTATGAATATGATATCCGTACATTATATATGTAAAATGGAGGCAACACAGATGGTTGATTATTAAAACTGGACAGGGGGTATCTGATTTGTCTATATGATTAGGTAAGATTTTTTGAGTAAAGACTTGGAGTTTAAATTTAACAATGAGTATATACCCAGCCAGTTACTGAATTTTGCACTGACACACACGACTCGGCCACCAGAAAAAAGACAGTTCATGGGTCGTGGCAGCCAGTGATGATGCGGCAGGCCAGAATCCAGCCAGGTTATCAGTGATATTATTTGACAAAATGAAGTATTAAGACTCTTAAAAGTTTGTATATACATGCATAACGCCCCAATCAAGCTTAATAAGTTAAATACAATAGATTTTTTTCGAAAACGAGAAATGCACAAATTTGGATATTTTTTTTTCCAGAATAATGCTATATTCATTACAGCTATTAAGTGGTGAAAATTTGACAGGCAAATAAATCGAGACAGGCGGAAAGGCTTGGAATGTTTAGGTTCATAAAAAGGTTTGACTACTAAAGTTTTTTCATATACAAGTGTATATTTCACGTGTGGGCTGGCTTAACGAGTTACACTGTCTCTGGGGGTATAGTGGAAGTCAGGCACCAGACTTTGTATGTCAACAAGACAGGAAACTTTAGGGGAATTGTGTTCCTTTCTGGCGAAGATACGGCCGTCCCTTGTGCGGAATGAATGGATCTTGTTCATGTGGCGCAACTTGTTTAGTTCATTGACAATGGTTTGTCGTTTTTTTGTTAGTGCTTCCACCATCAATGTGCGATTCGCGTTGCCCTTGAGATGATGATTGGCCTCGAAAACTCGTTGACGATCATAATATCTGACGAAACGCACAATGACATTTACCTTATCGTCTTTGATCTGGCCCAGAATAGGGCATCTAGATATCGCGTTCACTGGAAGCTGTATTTTGAGCGATTTTTCACAAATTAATATAACAGCTCTATGGGCGTCAAACAATTGACTGTTATCACCATGGGGTACCGGGACATTAAGGAATTTTAGTCTTTTTTTTTTTGTTTTGTTTTAAGCGTTAACTGTAAGTATTCTCTAAAAATGATTTCTCTACAATTTCTCGTCTTTACCAACAGAGATAAAATAATTTGATTCTACTTGTATGATATACTTAATTGTAATTTAAGTAGCATTGTGACCTCGCATGCTCTCATTTGACTAAGCGCCTTTACTTAAAAGTGAATATAACACATAATCATTTTACTCTTTTAAGTGTATGTGTTCTACATCAGTTGTCTATATGACATGAGATGGGACTCACTTAATCAACTCGAAAACATCTGGTCTTAATATCCTTGTACTATTTCATCAGATAAATACTTTCTTTATTAATTTATTGAAAGTGAGTTTGGATTTAGATTATGTTTACATGGTGGTATTTTCTTGTTGGTTTGGATGTTTCTATCATCGTTTTCAATTATCTCAGCAGAATCACAATCTGTATGTTGTTGGGTTGGAGATTATTAGTCTTTGACAAAAACTTTGGTTCGCAAATATTGATACAAACCCGAATGCAGTTTTCACATAAAGTTTTTATTTCTAACTGAAATAATCAGGACTGACATGTCTTGATATCAAAATTCCTATCCGATGTGAATGTGTTCACTCTGTAAAACTATTAATATTAAAAGTTTCAAGCTTTGTAAACAAACTATTATTTTTATCCATGGGCTGCTTTATATCATTTTCATATTCTAGATATTACATCTCAGTTAATATTCCTCCTCCTCATCGACCTCGTCGCATGCTGCCACTTCCTCATAATCTTTCTCCAGTGCAGCCAAGTCTTCTCGTGCTTCAGCAAATTCTCCCTCTTCCATACCCTCTCCCACATACCAGTGAACGAATGCACGTCGTATGTACATGAGGTCGAACTTATGATCGAGGCGAGCCCAGGCTTCAGCGATGGCGGTGGTGTTGCTTAACATGCATACAGCTCTCTGGACTTTAGCTAGATCTCCTCCCGGGATGACAGTCGGGGGCTGGTAGTTGATTCCAACCTTGAAACCTGTTGGACACCAATCTACAAATTGAATTGATCTCTTTGTTTTTATGGTTCCTATAGCTTTGTTGACGTCCTTTGGTACAACATCCCCTCGATACAGTAAACAGACTGCCATGTATTTTCCGTTTCGTGGGTCACATTTCACCATTTGGTTGGAGGGTTCAAAACAAGCTGAAGTAATTTCACCTACACCTAACTGCTCGTTGTACGCCTTTTCTGCGGATATGATCGGTGCATACGTTGCCAAGGGGAAATGGATACGAGGATACGGGACAAGGTTGGTCTGAAATTCGTTAAGGTCGACATTCAGTGCGCCATCGAACCGTAGTGATGCCGTTATGGAGCTGACAATTTGACTGATTATTCTGTTTAGGTTGATATATGATGGACTCTCGATGTCAAGATTACGTTTGCATATGTCGTAAATAGCCTCGTTGTCGACCATAAATGCACAGTCGGAGTGCTCCAATGTTGTATGGGTTGTCAGAATCGAGTTGTAGGGTTCTACAACAGATGTCGACACTTGCGGTGCTGGGTAGACAGCAAACTCCAGTTTCGACTTCTTGCCGTAGTCGACACTTAGACGTTCCATCAACAAGGATGCAAAGCCGGATCCAGTTCCTCCCCCAAAACTGTGGAAAATCAGAAATCCTTGCAATCCGGAACAGTTGTCTGCTAACTTACGGACGAGATCGAGAACGGGATCAGCGTACTCCTTCCCGATAGTGTAATGTCCTCGCGCATAATTGTTCGCAGCGTCTTCCTTTCCGGTTAAGAGGTATTCCGGATGGAAAAGTTGACGATACTTTCCTGTTCGGACTTCATCTAGAAATATCAAGAAAGACGTACTTATTAGAAGCATAGAGTGGAGATATATAGAAAAAATATATATTATTTTATGGTGGTATCATACGACGTGAAAACATATCAATCAAAATTGCTATTTCTTTCGTCCGATTAGCGTACAAATATGTACACCATAAATCCCAATGGCTGACGGAGCTACAAAGTTTCATTAGCAGTTCGGACAGAGGAGACCCGAACTGGTTTCTGGGTATTAATTCTTTTATTGTCATTCTGATGTAGTTGTGTTAGTGATATTTTCTATATTTATGGTTCTGTAGATTGATGCAATCGCATGCTTATGTCTCCTACAACTTACCGATACGGAGAAAAGTATGTTTTAAACTTTTGCATATGATTTTAAAATATATTTGTTATAAAGATATTGGTTTAAAAAAAATGATGAAAAAAGAACCCCTCCATTCCCTTCTAAATTTCCTTATTTGGACCCTAGCATCAAATAATCAAATAAATAAATATTGTAGCATCACTGACGAGTCCCAGAAGGACGAACCAGCTGTACGATGTAGCATCGCTGACGAGTTCCAGAAGGACGAAACAGCTGTATGATGTAGCATCACTGACGAGTCCCAGAAGGACGAACCAGCTGTATGATGTAGCATCACTGACGAGTCCCAGAAGGACGAACCAGATGTACGATGTAGCATCGCTGACGAGTTCCAGAAGGACGAAACAGCTGTATGATGTAGCATCACTGACGAGTCCCAGAAGGACGAACCAGCTGTATGATGTAGCATCGCTGACGAGTCCCAGAAAGACGAACCAGCTGTATGATGTAGGATCGCTGACGAGTCCCAGAAGGACGAAACACCTGTATGATGTAGCATCACTGACGAGTGCCAGAAGGACGAAACAGCTGTATGATGTAGGATCGCTGACGAGTCCCAGAAGGACGAAACAGCTGTATGATGTAGCATCACTGACGAGTCCCAGAAAGACGAAACAGCTGTATGATGTAGCATCACTGACGAGTCCCAGAAGGACGAAACAGCTGTATGATGTAGCATCACTGACGAGTCCCAGAAGGACGAAACAGCTGTATGATGTAGGATCGCTGACGAGTCCCAGAAGGACGAAACAGCTGTATGATGTAGCATCGCTGACGAGTCCCAGAAGGACGAAACAGCTGTATGATGTAGCATCGCTGACGAGTCCCAGAAGGACGAAATAGCTGTATGATGTAGGATCGCTGACGAGTCCCAGAAGGACGAAACAGCTGTATGATGTAGCATCGCTGACGAGTCCCAGAAGGACGAAATAGCTGTGTGATGTAGCATTAATGACGAGTCCCAGAAGGACGAAACAGCTGTATGATGTAGGATCGCTGTCGAGTCCCAGAAGGACGAAACAGCTGTATGATGTAGCATCGCTGACGAGTCCCAGAAGGACGAAACATCTGTGTGATGTAGCATCACTGACGAGTCCCAGAAGGACGAAACAGCTGTATGATGTAGCATCGCTGACGAGTCCCAGAAGGACGAAACATCTGTGTGATGTAGCATCACTGACGAGTCCCAGAAGGACGAAATAGCTGTATGACGTAGTATCACTGACGAGTCCCAGAAGGACGAAATAGCTGTATGATGTAACATCACTGACGAGTCCCAGAAGGACGAAATAGCTGTGTGACAGAGTTTTATCTATTGTTTGTTTTTATTGTATCTAACTCTAAATTTGTATAAAACGGTGCTGTTCACTTGTGTCTTTTAAATCACAGATAAGAGGCACGAACGAGGTAAGTATATACCTATTTATTACCTATCAATTAATTACCTATTATTAGCATTAGTATCAGTATAGGTAAGTATATACATAAATTATCTAGTAATTACTTAGCTATTATCAGCAGTTATTCTATGTTGTTTGTATTTTGTACAATCCCCTAGATACATTAAAATGTTAAGTAGATACTCTCCATTTAAATCTCGTCCAGGATTCTCCAGTTTTGTTCATCTAATTATACAGGTGCGTATCTGGACACGTTATGTAAAGTATCGTGCATTAAAGGTCATTTTAGTTTAAAACTGATTACAAACTTCAGGAGACGTGTATCGCATTGATAACCGGTAACTTTACTGATAAGAGAAGTATAACGTCACAAGCACCTGTTTCACGTGTCTTCATAAGTGACAAACATTTATCTAATATTTATGAAATCGTCCTAAAGTACTGACGTACCTGATGAACATTTAATTCAAATGCTTTAAGGTTGTGTATTAATCATATTTATAAAATTGCTAAAGAAATACTATCAAAAGTATATATTATATACTCTACTTTTTAAACAATATTATATGCTATTTACTAAGTAATTGTCTACCGTAAAATTATCAGTTTTTCTTTATACTCAAATTGTTAAAATAAACCTAGTAAGTGGATTTATTGAGTCATATTTATCGCCGAAACTAGCTGTCCATGAAAAAGATTTTTTTGCTGAAACAATTGAGCCCCAATTGAAGTAATCACCTTTTAACATTTTTTGTGCTCAAAGTATGATGACGTTTATTGCAGTTCCCATCTGTGGTTCATATACTAATTATTGTAGATGAACAAATCTATCATAACTCTTATTTGGTAGAAATAGATAATGCACAAAATATCTATTGTGTCAAAATATGTACGTGTATATCAACTGATTAAATAACGATTTTAACTATTTCTGAAGTAACTCTCCGAAACCTACCCACGACTGTAGGCTCAAGGTCAACAAATACGGCCCGCGGGACATGTTTCCCAGAAGAGGTCTCACTGAAGAATGTGTCAAACGAGTCATCAATTTGTCCTATTTTCTTTTCTGTGACCATTTGTCCATTGGGTTGGATGCCATGTTCTAGACAGTACAACTCCCAGCAGGCGTTGCCAATCTGGACGCCAGCCTGGCCGACGTGAATACTTATACATTCACGCTGGAAATATCAGAGAAATAATGTAAAACAGCGGATCTAACAAGACATTTAGTGCTAAAATATTTTTTTTTGTAAAACCATCTGCCTTTACAGTCGCAAGAAAATGTATTATGCAAATAAGGAAATCAGCAAGAAAATACCAAACAACGAAACAATGACAACTAAAATACGAGATACAGTACAACTGGAGGAGTGGTGAACAGCGAAACTCAAGTAGACATCATATATCTACTTCTAAATTCCTCCCTACACGACCAGAAGCATGTTTAATACGTTCAAGAACGACAAAGACTGCCTAGAAATAGCAATGTACGAACAACGAGACAGCATTATGACTTCTACATATAAAGCAATGTAATCGTAGTAAAACATACCATAGTGAGGAATTGTGGTTGGTAAAATCTGTTCACCTCTCTCAGACGTTTGAAGAGTCTGGAAAGTACTATGATAGTGACGTCACAATCATTCTTTTAATTTATAAACCATATCAAAACTTGAAAAGTATACACACTTCGCTGTCGTATTTGGGTAAGATATCGTATTAAATGATAACAACTGTTTAGAATGTGATACAGACTCAGGTCCGATCATAAAGATAACAATTCAGATTTAGATGTAATCTACGATTGTACACACATAACATACATTAGTCACACGAATGGACTTTGTATTGACAATGTCAAAAGCGTATAGATATATAGATATGTAGATATCAAGTATTGATATGGACGCTATAGGTAAAATTTTCAGCAAAGTGTAAATTCGTTACATTTTCGCATATTCACAAACCAATAAAAACCATGGTTTTAAGCTAAAAATCCATATAAGGTCATTTATACATACATATTAAAACCTCGGTATAATGACTTCCCTCGAAACATAGTAAAACCTCGGTATGATGACTTTTCTCTTAACATAGTAAAACTTCGGTATGATGACTTTTCTATAAACATAGTAAAACCTCGGTATGATGACTTTTCTCTAAACATAGTAAAACCTCGGTATAATGACTTTCATCTAAACATAGTAAAACCTCGGTATGATGACTTTTCTATAAACATAGTAAAACCTCGGTATAATGACTTTCATCTAAACATAGTAAAACCTCGGTATGATGACTTTTCTATAAACATAGTAAAACCTCGGTATAATGACTTTCATCTAAACATAGTAAAACCTCGGTATGATGACTTTCATCTAAACATAGTAAAATCTCGGTATGATGACTTTTCTCTAAACATAGTAAAACCTCGGTATAATGACTTTTCTCTAAACATAGTAAAACCTCGGTATAATGACTTTCATCTAAACATAGTAAAACCTCGGTCTGATGACTTTTCTCTAAACATAGTAAAACCTCGGTATGATGACTTTTCTCTAAACATAGTAAAACCTCGGTATGATGACTTTTCTCTAAACATAGTAAAACCTCGGTATGATGACTTTTCTCTAAACATAGTAAAACCTCGGTATGATGACTTTTCTCTAAACATAGTAAAACCTCGGTATAATGACTTCCCTCGAAACATATTAAAACCTCGGTATAATGACTTTCATCTAAACATAGTAAAACCTCGGTATGATGACTTTTCTATAAACATAGTAAAACCTCGGTCTGATGACTTTTCTCTAAACATAGTAAAACCTCGGTATGATGACTTTTCTCTAAACATAGTAAAACCTCGGTATGATGACTTTTCTATAAACATAGTAAAACCTCGGTATGATGACTTTTCTCTAAACATAGTAAAACCTCGGTATAATGACTTCCCTCGAAACATATTAAAACCTCGGTATAATGACTTTCATCTAAACATAGTAAAACCTCGGTATAATGACTTTTCTCTAAATATAGTAAAACCTCGGTATGATGACTTTTCTCTAAACATAGTAAAACCTCGGTATAATGACTTTCATCTAAACATAGTAAAACCTCGGTATAATGACTTTTCTCTAAATATAGTAAAACCTCGGTATGATGACTTTTCTCTAAACATAGTAAAACCTCGGTATAATGACTTTTCTATAAACATAGTAAAACCTCGGTATGATGACTTTTCTATAAACATAGCAAACCTCGGTCTGATGACTTTTCTCTAAACATAGTAAAACCTCGTTATGATGACTTTTCTCTAAACATAGTAAAACCTCGGTATGATGACTTTTCTCTAAAAACATATGACTTTTCTCTAAAATAGTAAAACCTCGGTATAATGACTTTTCTCTAAACATATAAAACCTCGGTATAATGACCTCGGTATTATGACTTTTCTCTAAACATAGTAAAACCTCGGTATAATGACTTTTCTCTAAACATAGTAAAACCTCGGTATGATGACTTTTCTCTTAACATAGTAAAACCTCGGTATGATGACTTTTCTCTAAACATAGTAAAACCTTGGTATAATGACTTCCCTCGAAACATAGTAAAACCTCGGTATAATGACTTCCCTCGAAACATAGTAAAACCTCGGTATAATGACTTTTCTCTAAACATATTAAAACCTCGGTATAATGACTTTTCTCTAAACATAGTAAAACCTCGGTATAATGACTTCCCTCGAAACATAGTAAAACCTCGGTATAATGACTTCCCTCGAAACATAGTAAAACCTCGGTATAATGACTTTTCTCTAAACATATTAAAACCTCGGTATAATGACTTTTCTCTAAACATAGTAAAACCTCGGTATAATGACTTTTCTCTAAACATAGTAAAACCTCGGTATAATGACTTTTCTCTAAACATAGTAAAACCTCGGTATGATGACTTTTCTCTAAACATAGTAAAACCTCGGTATGATGACTTTTCTCTAAACATAGTAAAACCTCGGTATAATGACTTTTCTCTAAACATACTAAAACCTCGGTATAATGACTTTTCTCTAAACATAGTAAAACCTCGGTATAATGACTTTTCTCTAAACATAGTAAAACCTCGGTATGATGACTTTTCTCTAAACATACTAAAACCTCGGTATAATGACTTTTCTCTAAACATAGTAAAACCTCGGTATAATGACTTTTCTCTAAACATAGTAAAACCTCGGTATGATGACTTTTCTCTAAACATAGTAAAACCTCGGTATAATGACTTTTCTCTAAACATAGTAAAACCTCGGTATAATGACTTTTCTCTAAACATATTAAAACCTCGGTATATGACTTTTCTCTAAACATAGTAAAACCTCGGTATGATGACTTTTCTCTAAACATATTAAAACCTCGGTATAATGACTTTTCTCTTAACATAGTAAAACCTCGGTATAATGACTTCCCTCGAAACATATTAAAACCTCGGTATAATGACTTTCATCTAAACATAGTAAAACCTCGGTATAATGACTTTCATCTAAACATAGTAAAACCTCGGTATAATGACTTTCATCTAAACATAGTAAAACCTCGGTATAATGACTTCCCTCGAAACATATTAAAACCTCGGTATGATGACTTTCATCTAAACATAGTAAAACCTCGGTATGATGACTTTCATCTAAACATAGTAAAACCTCGGTATGATCACTTTTCTCTAAACATAGTAAAACCTCGGTATGATGACTTTTCTATAAACATAGTAAAACCTCGGTAAAATGCCGTAATATGCTAGAAATTTTTATGAACTCACGAAACATTTAATATGAACATACCCTCACGAACAACTAACACGCCATGTCCCAAAATAATAAATGTTATTGTACCACATGATCAAATGTTATTGTAACACGTGATCAAATGTTATTGTAACACGTGATCAAATGTTATTGTACCACATGATCAAATGTTATTGTATCACGTAATCAAAGATGTTTGTAACACATAATCAAATGCTATTGTAACACGTGACCAAATGTTATTGTACCACGTGATCAAATGTTATTGTATCACGTGATCAAATGTTTTTGTACCACGTAATCAAATGTTATTGTAACATGTTATAAAATGTTATTGTATCACGTAATCAAATGTTATTGTAACACGTAATCAAATGTTATTGTAACACGTGATCAAATGTTATTGTAACACGTAATCAAATGTTATTGTAACATGTTATAAAATGTTATTGTATCACGTGATCAAATGTTATTGTAACATGTTATAAAATGTTATTGTATCACGTGATCAAATGTTATTGTAACACGTAATAATGTTATTGTAACATGTTATAAAATGTTATTGTATCACGTGATCAAATGTTATTGTAACACGTAATCAAAAATGTTTGTAACACGTAATCAAATGCTATTATAACACGTGACCAAATGTTATTGTACCACGTGATCAAATGTTATTGTATCACGTGATCAAATGTTATTGTACCACGTGATCAAATGTTATTGTAACACGTGATCAAATGTTTTTGTTCCACGTGATCAAATGTTATTGTAACACGTGATCAAATGTTATTGTAACACGTGATCAAATGTTATTGTAACACGTGATCAAATGTTATTGTAACACGTGATCATAATGAAATATTGCTATCAACGACATACCAAGGAAAAATTATACAAACAACAAAACAACAAATTATATTTTAAAAAGACAATATTATAATACATGACATTAAATATACATGTAATATGAAGAAACATATTTTAATGACATAAAGGTTAATAAATTTGACATAGAGGGTTTATCCTTAATGGGTACTTTCAAAGACTGTACAAAAGACAAACAAATGAATAACACATGTTCATAATTAAGAGACAATTACAGTAAAGACAAACAAGGAATTAAACTGCATCATACAGATTTTTCGTCAGAGCTTAAGTTTGAAGCCTTGGACGAGACCACATACTGTATTATGGTATTATGGAAATATTCGATCCACTACACCAGAACCCATTAGCTTCAAAATCTTAACATGTTTCAGCTTTATTTTTCCTTTTATTTGTTTGCAAAAATATTGCTACCTAGTTGCTTTTTAAAAACTTGAACACCTCTCAATAGGTTGCTTTTATTCGTTGCATTGAATTTTAAGTGGAACAGCATTATGTATGTTAATGATTCTACACCAACATACATGACTTCAGGAAACCAATATGAGAAATATACCTAAAGGAGGACTGTCTTTGTCTCAAAATTTAACACTTAAACGTCACTACGGCCAAATTGTACAACTTATGTAAATGAGTCATTTAAATATGTAAATTAGATTTTACCCGATATTTCCGGTCAACGCTAGATAAGATACTGTATATTATAAAACAGTAATTAACAAGGACTAGACATGTTAGTTTATTAATTGCGAGTGAGTGGAACATAAATAACTGCATATTTGCTTGTTTATATTTCATTTAATAAGATGTCTCCAGCCAGTAACAAAGAATTAAAGCAAGGATGTGCTTTTGTAAGGATTACACATATTTCATGGAAAATGCTGAACGAGTCATTTTATACTGTAATACGAGCTATTTTAAAAGCCACACAAAGAATGCACACTTCCTTTCCTCAATAAGAGATCACACGTGTGTAATGTATACAGTATATATATCTGTGTGGTGTTTGTGTGTGTGTGGTGTGTGTGTGTGTGTGTGTGTGTGTGTGTGTGTGTGTGTGTGTGTGTGTGTGTGTGTGTGTGTGTGAGGGTGTGTGTGTTTGTGTGTGTGGTGTGTGTGAGTGGTGTGTGTGTGTGTGAGGGTGTGTGTGTGTGTGTGTTTGTGTGTGTGGTGTGTGTGTGTGTGGGTGTGTGTTTGTGTGTGTGTGTGTGTGTGAGGGGTGTGTGAGGGTGTGTGTTTGTGTGTGTGGTGTGTGTGTGTGTGTGTGAGGGTGTGTGTGTTTGTGTGTGTGTGTGGTGTGTGTGAGGGGTGTGTGTGTGTGTGTGTGTGTGTGTGTGTGTGTGTGTGAGGGTGTGTGTGTGTGTGTGTGTGTGTGTGTGTGTGTGTGAGGGTGTGTGTGTTTGTGTGTGTGTGTGTGTGTGTGTGTGTGTGTGTGTGTGTGTGTGTGTGTGTGTGTGTGTGTGTGTGCGTGTGTGTGCAGGCGCGTACGTGCGTGCGTGCGTGCTTGCGTAGGTAGGTGGATGGATGAATGAATGGATGGATACAAACAAACAAACAAACAAACAAATAATTGAAACTAATTATTTTTTTTATTCTTTTGTTAAATATCATAATTTCAAACATTCGGCCCGGCATCAATACCCCAATAGGTATCATCTTGATTTTGAACATAATACATGTCCCGACCTAACAGCAGCATATTAATTCTGTACCCAATTCTCACATATCCATGACATTAGCTTCATTCTGACAACTGTTTGCTTTAAATATTTCTGAACTTGTTTCTTAGTGCGCGGAAATATAAAATAACAAAATCAGTCGGTATTTAACGGTTTTCTGTTACTTGTTTCACTTGTCAATTCAAATTTCTTCTTTTTGCCTTCAGTTCTACCAGGAAATACTCCAGTGATGCAGGGAGAAATAGCGATCGTTACTATGCAGGATCAAGAATGGCATGCCGCACACAGAACGATGCATAAAAAAGTCATTGATGAAACTGAAGTTTTCAAATGTGACCTTTGACCCTAAAATCTTGACCGATTACCGTGTAAATATAATTAGGTGATTATATAACAAAGTTGGTTCAGCATGATATTAATATGTTAAAAGAGGCTGGTCTTACTGTATTGGAAATACTAACAGACTATTACTTAGCGATATATTTTTATTGCATTTGGAAAAATCTGCTCACTTCAAAATTTACATGTGGTAATAGGCAATAATATTGTCACGTTTATCGTTAACAGACTTGCTAAATGATATCAAAAACAGATTTTAATTCAGATATAGAATATGCCTCTGGTTGAACATTGATATAAATATAATAAAAACATTTTCTCCTACTATTGTCTACTGATATACCTTAATATTAAAAAACTTACATTAAGGGTACATTTTGTCTAATTTGTCTTTTATTGTAAACATCAAACTTCAATAATTGCGTGGTATCAATGGCAAGTACACTAACTGCACTATATGGACTGTTGGTCAATCTACCATTAACTGTTGCTATTCCATGAACGCTATAGATATTATCATTAATGATAGTGTAGATGTGGTCTCACTATTTCTGTGGAAGGATGTGAATGAGGGTGTGTTTATTTGTTATACTATGTTAATTGCGAGTTACCTCCCTTGATTGTATAATATACGTCTACATATTTCTTTTTTAAATTCATTGAATGTTTCATCCAAACTTCCATTGATATAGGTAAGTATTGTTCTACCCCAGTAGCTGTCCATGGCGAAAATTTGTATAGAATTCATCTGTTATTCAATCCATTTGACCATACAATCTCTCATAAAATTCGTTGAAGTGAAAATTGAACATGAACCAAAGCTGTTGGGAAATTCTCACTTAATGGCAATGATTTAGTATAGAACGCAACATAAAGGGGCTGGTCAGAACACAACGCGATATGTCATACAAACTTATCAAACTTACAAAAATTCCTATATGTGGATCGCGATTTCCGGTTTGTTGGAACCGCGAAACGAAACGTCATAACATACTTAGGAAAGTACCTTATCTATGGAAACGTGACTTTGGTATCGTCCAGGACATTATATACAGTTACAATCGTCAACAAGACAGGGACATATAGGTTACCTACACGATTATTTAGGTCTCTTTTGTCTGCAGTGCCTTACATTTGTGTTTGGTTATATTACCGAGAAACATCATGAATAACCTGACCATTGTGACATTCGGTGAGTGTATTAATTGGTATCAGACCGGTGCTATTTATTATGTTGATTTAAGAAAAAATAATAATGATAATATTTATTCCAGGGACTTTATGATTTCATTATTTCTATTATTGTCAAACTGAATTGTTGAATAGTCAAACTGAATTGAATAGGCAAACTGAATTGAATGTTCAAACTGAATTGTTAAATAGTCAAACGGAATTGTTGATCAGTCAAATTGAATTGTTGAACCGTCAAACTGAATTGTTAAATAGCCAAACTGAATTGTTGAAAAGTCAAACTGAATTATTGAATAGTCAAACTGAATTGTTGAATAGGCAAACTGAATTGTTGAATAGTCAAACTGAATTATTAAATAGTCAAATTGAATTGTTGAACAGTCAAACTGAATAGTTGAATAGTCAAACTGAATTATTGAACAGTCAAACTGAATTATTGAACAGTCAAACTGAATTGTTGAACAGTCAAACTGAATTGTTGAATAGTCAAATTGAATTGTTGAATAGTCAAACTGAATTATTGAACAGTCAAACTGAATTGTTAAATAGTCAAACTGATTTGTTGAACAGTCAAATTGAATTGGTAAACAGTCAAATTGAATTGTTGAATAGTCAAACTGAATTGTTAAATAGTCAAACTGATTTGGTGAACAGTCAAATTGAATTGGTAAACAGTCAAATTGAATTGTTGAACAGTCAAACTGAATTGTTGAATAGTCAAACTTTTCATAACGTTTTTAGGTATCACCGGAAATCGATTTGTTATATTGAAGAGATGAGAATGTTTACAATCGTTATAATTATAACAGGTAAATAGGGAGGAAATCATAGGACATTCAGTTTGTATAGATTACATAGATAGTCACCACTTCAAAGACGTGAACTGAACTTAGATTACTTTAATTCTTTATTTTTTTTTCAAAATATATTTTGTTTTTGAAATGTGAAATTGACGAGGAAGAGTCTGGGTTTGCACAGTAACTGCGATAGTTTTTGAAAAAAGTTGAAATGAGTTCACCGACTTGATAACCAAAGCCCGACGACATGTTGTGTGACATAGATATTAACTCGCACTAACCACATGCCATATTGTTGCTAGAGATCAAGGACAAGCCGATAGCCTCAAACGAATGTAAACCGCGGAAATACAGCCGCCATATACCGCTAGGCTAGAGAGAATTTCACCAGCAGTAAGCCAGAGGTCCCGGGTTCGAATCCTAGCGGAGACATTGAAATAAATCATGACCTCTGTTACACATATACCTTAATTAAACCCCGATGAATATTATCCTGCTGACTAACGATCGTACAAAGACAAGAATGAATAGTACCTTTAATACAAATTTAGAGTTAGGTATAATGAGCCAGACAATGAATTAAACTGCATCATACAGCTGTTTCGTCCTTCTAGGACTCGTCAGTGATGCTACATCATACAGCTATTTCGTCCTTCTAGGAATCGTCAGTGATGCTATATCATACGGCTGTTTCGTCCTTCTAGGACTCGTCAGTGATGTTAAATCATACGGCTGTTTCGTCCTTCTAGGACTCGTCAGTGATGCTATATCATGCAGCTGCTTCGTCCTTATAGGACTCGTCAGTGATGCTATATCATGCAGCTGTTTCGTCCTTATATGACTCGTCAGTGATGCTATATTATGCAGCTGTTTCGTCCGTGTATGACTCGTTAGTAATGCTACTTCATACAGCTGTTTCGTCCTTATAGGACTCGTCAGTGATGCTATATCATATAGTTGTTCCGTCCGTGTATGACTCGTTAGTAATGCTACTTCATACAGCTGTTTCGTCCTTATAGGACTTTTCAGTGATGCTACATCATACAGTTGTTTCGTCCTTCTAGGACTCGTCAGTGATGCTACGTCATACAACTGTTTCGTCCTTGTAGGACTCGTCAGTGATGCTATGGCCCTTAATTGTAAAGCCTAGGAGGCTAATGGGGAAAAAAATACGAAGTACTTTTTTTGTTTGTAATTCTGAAATGAGCGAGTGTTGCAACTCCAAATTACATTGGGTTTGTATCCTTTCCCTTACAATGTAAAGCTATTCAAATACATGTATAAATCTGGATCAATTCAAAATTATGAAAGTCAAAATATATGCGAATGATTATTAATTTCAGTGGAGGGTTTGTTTCGTTTAATTCGTATGTACTCTAAAAGTTGACGTTGACTTTAATACTAGCGGATTTTGTGGCAAGGTTTAATCACGAAATCAAGTCCAACAGAAATTTATACTTTTGGAAAACCGCACATTTTGAGACCCGTGTGATGGTACAGAAGCTTCATTTTCCTCACAAAACAAAGATATCTATACTGGACTTCTGTGACGTGACTGATTCACGACAGTTATCACATTTACATTACACAACAGAAAACGCAGGAAGATATAATAAAAAGGAGAAAAAATAACTTAAAAAAACCCCATCTTTTTGATACGATATAAAGACAGTTTCTTCTGATGACAAACAAAACATGTAGAACCAATATTGACAATCCTCCGTCACCTTCTAGAATTCATTACAATACATTACTCTATTCAATGGTAAATTTCTATTGGGTGGTTCTGTTCATTTGTGTGTCTGTACTACGAGCTTTTGATAAAAGAGAGAACTTTGAAATATATTTTGAGAATGTACATTTCATCAATACGTTTTAATTATTCTTCTACACTGGTTTGCTTGACTTTTGATAACCTGACTTTCTTTGTAGCGTGCATTTTGGTGCAAGTCTTCGCAAAAGGTTTTGATTGTAAGTATAGACTTAAGTCTTCAACGATCCCTTAACTCTCAGTTATACACATTTTAGGGCACACTTATGTTAGATAATGACACGCTGTCATGCGTAACTGATTGGATGTAAACTTCAAATTATTTCAATCGTGACGTCAGGCTTTTAGTCGTGACGTCACAAAATTACAATTACACGATGGAATAGGAAATGAGATGAAAACATGTCGTTACCATTTATATACGGTATATATAAAAACAGCTTGGTGACCTTTTCATTTATGCTCTCAGATTTGAATTTAAAAAAATGATCTCATATGATTTGAAAACATTAATATTCTTTGTCATATATTTATCCATGTAAACCTTATGATACTGACATTGAAAAAATTGAATATGAATTTTGAGAATGTTATCTTAAATGATATATCTGAGTGATGTTAAGAACCTTGATCTAGTTAGCATTCTGTTAACAGTTAATAGTTGTAGAGCAAAATGAATCCACGATGTTACCGCTAGGTCACATATAAATAACCAATAACATTGATCTATTCTACCAGATTAGCGGTGACCAACACTTTTAAGAGTTCACTTTCTTGCTTAATGAGAAATAAAGTTGTTTTCACTATTGGTTTTTGGTACAAAGTAGACGATTTATTCAAATTTTCTTCATTTTTCGGTGTAGTTTCGTCCATTTTCCATTGGTACCAAGATTATCTTCAAGGCCTGGGCAGCTCCTTCGGTCTCGGCGATACTGGGTGTGATAATACCGACGAAAGGGACCGTACGTCTTACTCTTATTCATTGGGTATTTTGAAAGGTTCATGTTGATTAAGATTATCCGGAAATTTCGTTACCACTACCAAAATATCACCGAAAAAATACATTTCTTTGTACGAAAACAATATCAAAAATGATTTTTAATCGAATGATCATTTTATCGATTCTGGGTTAGAATCATGTATGTATGTTAAGCTGTGATTCTTGCATTTTGTTAACATTATATTTGTTATATATATATATTAAAGATTTAGACATTAACACGTTTCCTTATAATGAGTGTGATTGAACAAGCACTGATTTCGCCATTCCGCGTGAAAACAGGAACATCTAATTTTAGTCACGTTATATTTCCGCAACTGAAAAACGGAACTAAAAACATGTAATAGATTTCCTTCTTCGTTAACATCGGTGATGTTCTCTGAATATAAGTATATCTTTTCTAGGACACCTGTCCTTATTAACGGGCCTCTGGGGAAAGTTTTTCTTTGTTTATATTTTGTCATCTTTTAATAGAATTCTATTTTGATTTAAGAATCTGTTGCAAGATATATCTTTTAATGTTTTCATCTAAAAGTTCATTAAAAATTATGTTAATTGGATTTGATCTTCATAATCTTCATAATTACAACTGTAACAATAATGTGAAGATTCTTTTTACAAAATATATGCAGCATAGATAAATCAAATATGACAACCTTGAATTCAGTTTTAATCTTATTGCCACATAATTCTATTCTCTCAGATGGGATTTGATTCAATATATTATGATCAATCATATTTCCATAAAGCTACATTGAGGAGACGATGAAGACCAGGTTACTCTTCCGGAACGCCTGGTCTTCTTATTTAATCTATACTTTTTGCGGGAGTCAGTCTTTTGTTCATATTTTGCTATAGTGTTATTAAAATTATATTTGGCCTAAGATTAAATTGAGATGTTGGAACCTATTTAGGTTTATTATTGTTTTGCTTGCTTGTTTTGTTATTGTGGGGTATTTTTTGTTTTTGATTTTTTTTATCTATTTTCTATTATTTTGATGTTTTTGTTTTCTTCTTCTTCTTTTTTGTTTTTGTTTTTACACTTATTTATCTTTTTTTTTTGTTTTTGTTTTTACACTTATTTATCTTCTTTTTTTTTGTTTTTGTTTTTTTATTTTATTATTTATTTTCTATCATTTTGATGTTTTTGTTTTCTATTTTTTATTTAGTTTTTGGTTAATGCTATCTTTAGTTATTATACTTACAGATGTCATCCGACTGCTGACAGATTGGCATAGTCATCATGAATCCGCTGGTTTGTACGATACAACTTCTCACTTTATTGGGAACAATAATCACAGGTCAAAGTCAAACATGTGTCAGACGAAGAATGATATCTAAAAATAGACGGCGCATAGTTTCTGCTATTTTTTCACAAAACGGATATAAGGTACTAATTTTTATCTATTTCATATTTTATCTATAAAATATAATCTTATATTGAATGGAGAAAAAAAGGAAAGAATGGGCACATTCTGTTAAATGGATACAGGCTGTTAAATTATTGCATTTAGAACTTTTCATGGACGCTATCCTTCATTGAGAAGGATCCATACGTTGTAAGCACTTTCCAGGCACCCATTGGTCTTGTTGACAATCTATGTTGAAATCAAAATAGAATGCTTGTTTTTTTATGTTTCCTTATTTTGATGTTTTGATTGTTTTACTACAGCTTTCCAGAAGTTTTATTCTGACGTTGCTTTAATTGATATGGAAAGCAGCGCTGGTTCCATGCCACGTAAGTATAAACCGGACCTTCAGGAGATATGTCATTAAACATTCATGTGATATCGTTGTTATTTGTATCACATCATTCACAATGAAAATATCTAATGTGCCAGAAAGGATAAAGAAACACTCGGTTACAGTGATTATTTGTCCAAAACATTCTGTCACTTTAACACACCACTTTAAAGCTGTTGGTAGTACGGCTGATTCCGTTTATTCTCCATGTACCTTTTCAGGGGTCTTTGAGTAAATCTTTCTTTGGTTCATGTTTTGCCCTAGTTTCGTTGGAATATGATTACGTTGCCATGTTGATATTTTCTGATGAGTTATATATTTCTAACGTCATATCAACAGTTAGATTCATTTAAGGATGATGGCCTGCGCGGTATATATGGTATGTGTATTTGGGAGGCTGTGATATGTTCTTGTAATCGTCTTTGTGATAGTTCAGAACTGATGCCAATTTTATAGTGCTAGCACACTGAACTGTACTACCTAAGGTCCCCAACAGGGCGCCTTATCCGGTCACATTATACTCACAGACAAACCTGTCGTTGAACTACGACAGTGATGAACGTTCAGAAAGAATAAAAAAAACTACCATTTGAGAAAGTTTAACATGTCTCGGTCAGGTGACACAACCGAAAGTCTTTATCAGCATGGCGAATATTCAGGTAAAAGCCAAACATGAGGCAATGTCTACAGAGACATGAAGAAGAAGGCAGATTATTTTTTTTTAGAAAAGGATGAAATTAAAAACAATACCAAGTATAGTAACATCTTAAGATCATGCCTTTCGCGACAGCAGGTAAATATTCTTAAAACATACCTAAAAAGACATAGGTATTACGGATATTAATAATACTTTCTAAGTAGGAACAGTATCAGTTGAATCCTGACCATTTTGAATTTCCAGACAATACTAGTTGTGTCATCAGTGCCATTGTGATTGAATACTTCATCTGATTCATATATATTTGTATTTTTTTAGATTCTCGCCGGGATGACTATCACGGTACACACGATGAAGCTTACTCCAATCATGACAGTACACCAGATAGTAAGATATGCAATTTGTCATTGTACACTGGTCGTATTTTAATATATCATTAACGTGATCACACATCCTTAGCTCATCAGCTATCTAATCTTGATCACACCTGCTGTCTAATCTTGATCACACCTATTGTCTAACCTAGATCACACCTGTTGTCTAACCTAGATCACACCTGTTGTCTAACCTAGATCACACCTGTTGTCTAACCTAGATCACACCTGTTGTCTAATCTTGATCACACCTGTTGTCTAACCTAGATCACACCTGTTGTCTAACCTAGATCACACCTATTGTCTAACCTAGATCACACCTGTTGTCTAACCTAGATCACACCTGTTGTCTAACCTTGATCACACCTGTTGTCTAACATTTATCACACCTATTGTCTTACCTTTATCACACCTGTTGTCTAACCTTGATCACACCTATTGTCTAACCTTTATCACACCTGTTGTCTCACCTTTATCACACCTATTGTCTAACCTTGATCACACCTGTTGTCTAACCTAGATCACACCTGTTGTCTAACCTAGATCACACCTATTGTCTAACCTTTATCACACGTATTGTCCAACCTAGATCACACCTGTTGTCTAACCTTTATCACACCTATTGTCTAACCTTTATCACACCTGTTGTCTCACCTTTATCACACCTATTGTCTAACCTTGATCACACCTGTTGTCTAACCTTTATCACACGTATTATTTAATCTTGATCAAACCAGTTGTCTAACCTTAACTACACTTAAAGTCTAACCTCAAGTACATTCATTGTCTTATATCACACCTCTTGCCTCACCTCAAGTTCAATTATCATCCTACCTCAATCCTACCTCTTGTTTCACCTCAAACACGCCTATTGCCTATCTCTTGCACGACTATTTCTTATATGAAGAACACCTATTGTCTAATTCAAACACGCCCATTGTCTATTTAAAGCACATCTATTGTCTTACCTTAAGCCTACCTCTTGTCTCACATCAAGCACACCTATTCTCTAACTTTAAGGACACCTATTGTGCCACCTCAAGTTTATCTATGTATTTACCTCAAGCCTACCTATCGCCTAACCTCAAGCATGTTTAACGTAGATCTTTATCAAAGGGAAGTAATTCTGTTTTTTTTTATGTAGTGACTGAAATAATGGAAATATACGACATTTTCAAACGGTATATACAACAATAAGCTTTTTAAAAATGTGAATTCTTTGTATATTCTTTTGTCTTTTCTTTGTAGTTGCTCATTTGGAGCATCTTGTTAGGGCAGAAAACATGAACGCTAAATGCAGAATGGATATACTACATCTAATTGAAAGTAAGAATGGTTCATCAAACCCGATCAGACATGACTATATTTGTTAAGTTACAATGTAAAACAATAAAAAAAATCAAAGAATGGGTTTACATAGGACCTTGTCCTTGACGATGCAGAATGACGCGTATCATTTCGGAACACTTCTGGTTTATTTATGACATGTTTCGTGTATAATATTTTCATTATGCAGATCTCGCTATCATTTCATCGACTTTTGCTTTGGGATTGAGATTCTATTACTATGTGAATTTTTTTTCTGTTGTTTGAGTCCACTTACATACGCAATATTTTTGAGATATTGTCGTAAACCGGAGAGAAATAAAAAAAATACGGTTGACAAAACCTGAAGAGGTAATATAGATGTAATACTTCAACACTTTTTTAATATCAAAATCTATAACAAAAATGCCATAATGAATTACCAGGATTTGAGCACGTGAGTGCTATGACAACAACACCAAAGCCAACTACACCAACTACTGCTGGGACAACAAGACATAGACATACGCACCGTCCACACACGCATGCGCCTCATACCAGTACGCCTACTACAGCCAAGCCTACCACACCTGTCCTTACGAATAAACCAACAACACGTGCTCCAATAGTAACAACACCGCAGCCTGTTGTTACTGGAAGTAAGTATTAGTTTTACATGGGAACACTAAAGTAGTCAGGACGAAAAAGATCATCTACAATAGACAACAAATGAATTTAGATTAGTATTAGTGTAAGAGTTTGATGACCTCCGATATAGAAAACGTCAGAGCTGAATCACTCGAAACAAAAGTAATCTGATGTAAAGTTTGAGATAAACGAACAACACACGGCTATTTTATCACATTATCCGCCTGTTATTCAGTAAATACCTCCATTTCAATATTTATATCTATTATTCGTAGTAGAAAATAGTCCGGAACGTTTCTCATCGGCTACAGCAGTCAGAAACCAATTGTGATGTCATAATATGAACTGAAAATGCCGAATCAAAATTGCTGTCTCATGTTTACTGTATAACCTGTTGAAATGTAAGTTTTCCTAGCTATGTCATAATAAGTATATTGAATTTGCTTTCATTCCATGAGATAATTTACGTAACTCGTCTGGGACTTTCAAGTTTTGCTCGCAAATCTTCTTACTCGTTTCGTAAAATCTCATTTGAAACGAAAACTCTTTGATACCCCATTGTATAGCCATTGTGTGTATAGCTTGACAGGGACATCGTGGTATTAATTGCAAAGTTGAATGTCAACAAAATCCTTTCATTATTTATGTTTCTAATTTCGAAATTGATTTTGTATTTCTACTTTCAGATCAAATGTGTAATCAGCTGACATTAGTTTCGGATTTGGCGAAGACAACTTTGATAACCCATCCCTTGGCGGGATTTTGTGCTGACGGGACACGTAGTGAATCTGAAGCACTAGTGCTGCAATCCTGTACTGCTCCTGCCCCTGTACAATGGCGCCAAGGTGACCACGTAAGTGTAAATGAAAACGGATTATTTAATCACCCGGGTACATCGTCAAAAAAAATCTGAACAATTATGTACAGATCGACTAATAGCAATGCTTACCGTAACGTGTATGTACGCGGCTAGAAAATCCTGCTGAAAAATCCTACGTTAATACTTTAGACCTTCCTCATTCGCCTCTTAGTCTTAAATTCAGACCGATAGCATCACTGACGAATCCTAGAAGGACGAAACAGCTGTATGACGTAGTATCACTGACGAGTCCTAGAAGGACGAAACAGCTGTATGATGTAGTATCACTGACGAGTCCTAGAAGGACGAAACAGCCTTATGATGTAGTATCACTGACGAATCCTAGAAGGACGAAACAGCTGTATGATGTAGTATCACTGACGAGTCCTAGAAGGACGAAACAGCTGTATGATGTAGTATCACTGACGAATCCTAGAAGGACGAAACAGCTGTATGATGTAGCATCACTGACGAATCCTAGAAGGACGAAACAGCTGTATGATGTAGCATCACTGACGAATCCTAGAAGGACGAAACAGCTGTATGACGTAGTATCACTGACGAGTCATACAAGGATGAAACAGCTGTATGATGTAGCATTAATGACGAGTCCTAGAAGGACGAAACAGCTGTATGAAATAGCATCACTAACGAGTCATACAAGGATGAAACAGCTGTATGATGTAGCATTAATGACGAGTCCTAGAAGGACGAAACAGCTGTATGATGTAGCATTAATGACGAATCCTAGAAGGACGAAACAGCTGTATGACGTAGTATCACTGACGAATCCTAGAAGGACGAAACAGCTGTATGACGTAGTATCACTGACGAGTCCTAGAAGGACGAAACAGCTGTATGAAATAGCATCACTAACGAGTCATACAAGGATGAAACAGCTTTATGATGTAGCATTAATGACGAGTCCTAGAAGGACGAAACAGCTGTATGATGTAGCATTAATGACGAGTCCTAGAAGGACGAAACAGCTGTATGATGTAGCATTAATGACGAGTCCTTGAAGGACGAAACAGCTGTATGATGTAGCATTAATGACGAGTCCTGGAAGGACGAAACAGCTGTATGATGTAGTATGATTTATTGTTTGACTTTCTGTATCATATCTAAATTTGTGGTAAATGGGACTATTTACGTGTGTGAGTTTTGTTCAATCTTAACGATAACACAGAAGAAGAAATATTTTATTTTGATCATGAGAAGAAAGAAAAATGAAAAATTGCTATGAATGTGATACATATACCCTAAATAAGTTATTGGTGATTAAATGTTTCCAGTTGTGAAAACAAATACCTGTATTCTACATATGGCACTTTATTGAAGGCACGCGATGTCTGAATCTATATAAAATAATACAAATAATGGCAAAGAATGTAGTTTGCGGGTGAATGCTTCGAAATTTTAAATGTTTTTTACTTCTGGAAAAGTACATTAAGGTGACTTCGTGATAGAAAAATATCGTGTTGTGAGTCAAATGTAATTTTATGAAAAAGGCTTTGGTTCATATGTTGATTGTAGAGCCGGTAGCACGTAATTTAGTTTAAATGTAATTGAGACGTGTGATGTTGAGGGCTTGTTACTCACCTTAACAGTATGTAATGCAGCACACCGGATAATGCTCCTCATGTAGATATAAAACAATATAATAGGTGATAGTTTAGAATTTCTTTGTAATGCGAACAGGAAATGAAATTTCTAATACATAAAGTTACTTTCTTTACTGTCCTTTTCGATAGGAATTGATCTCAATTTTTAAATTTATATGCCACTTTCCGAGAGACATTTTCCTTGTGCCCATCCCCTGTTAACTTATCAAAGATTGAAATAAAATTAATATATTTTGAATATATATTAGAATCATCTTAATTGATATCGATTGATTGGACGAACTTATTTAACTTCTATTCGTCATTATTTGTTGCAGGTTTTAGGCAACTGTGCTAATATACCTAAATTTAGCCCTATCGCCACATTCCTCCTCGGGAACTATGTCATGGATGGTACGTCTCTCAGCGGTATACTCTTGGGCTGTCATCCCAATGGTTTTAAGGTAGGTATCATCGCTGATTTTGCAGTCGGTCCTTCAAGTCGTCGTGTAATATAGATCTATGTGCATATTGACTATTAATTAAATAAAAATACACTGTCACTGCAAAGTAAATACTGAAATATAATAAAATCAGGTTAAAGAAGTTGTTGTATTGCTGGAAAGCTTGTGTAGACTGCAGATTCAATCAATGGCGAATGGCAAATAAATGTTGAGGATCAGAAAGTTATGAGTGATGAACAACCTTTGTGTTATTAACAGGAGTAGGAAATTATTTTTTTATTGCATTTTTCTCAAAAACGTATTATTTCGGTTATTTTACAAGCATGTTACAGTATAAGGATTGATAAATATTTGATGCAAAATGATTTAAATTCCCGCGTGAAAATGATTCACATCAAGATCATCCCACTTCATTAGTAAAGAAAGTTGTATGGTATACTCACCGACCATTTCAATTTGATAGTTATCTTTATTTTCTGTTTCCGCGTGTAGATGGCAGCACAGATATGCGGCCACACGCCACAAATTTTTGATATCATTGGAGGAAGTGCAGATCCAAGACAGAATGCCGAAAGTTACTATCTCATTAAATGGTAACCCTCATATCGTGACCTCGTGTTTGTAAGCTGGGGAGAAAATTATTAAATGGTAAAACAATTATTGGTGGTGTGATCTGTTGAATTATCAGACATTTTAATGTGACCTCTCAAATACTAAGACCTGATTTACTGGAAGTTCCTTCCTTGTCCAAACAGTGAAGAGAAACAAGAATAACACTCAGTTTTTTGGAAGTAATGTCGTGCTCTCTAAATAAGAACCGTGATAATACGTGATTATTTTCTAACAACCATAAATGAAAGGCCATATTTCCTTCTCGTTTATTTACACCCTTTCCATAACTAAAGAGTCATTGAAGGACAAAACAGCTGTTTGTTTCATGGTTTGTAACTCTAAATTTGTGTTAAATGGTGCTCTTCACTTATGTGACTTTAATACAATCTTCATTTAGGGCTTAGCAGCAAAATCTATATATCCATCATACAAAACGCGTAACAGAAGAGGAGTTTCCATTCTTTTTCCCAAGTTGTCAAAACATTAACACAGTCATATTTTCATATTTAACCGTTAACATTATTGACAAATAATGTAAATTATTATTGCCATACCAAATTCATTCCGTTCACAGTCACGTTGATGCAACCATGTTTTATCTGAAAGGTTTCAAACAGCATTGTCTAAATCAAACCCTACGTAACAACCCTGAAAAGTAAGAAATTTCATCGCAATTACAACAAATATGTGTATATCAGTTTCCCTCCCTAACTTATCATATGTGCTCTCATCGTAGCTAGGAATCGCCTTCCTCCTCTATCTTACCCAGGAATCGTCTTCCTCCTCTATCTTACCCAGGAATTGTCTTCCTCCTCTATCTTACCCAGGAATTGTCTTCCTCCTCTATCCTACCCAGGAATCGTCTTCCTCCTCTATCTTACCCAGGAATCGTCTTTCTCCTCTATCTTACCTAGGAATCGTCTTCCTCCTCTATCTAACCCAGGAATTGTCTTCCTCCTCTATCTTACCCAGGAATTGTCTTCCTCCTCTATCCTACCCAGGAATCGTCTTCCTCCTCTATCTTACCCAGGAATCGTCTTTCTCCTCTATCTTACCCAAGAATTGTCTTCCTCCTCTATCTTACCCAGGAATTGTCTTCCTCCTCTATCTTACCCAGGAATTGTCTTCCTCCTCTATCTTAGCCAGGAATTGTCTTCCTCCTCTATCTTACCCAGGAATTGTCTTCCTCCTCTATCTTACCCAGGAATTGTCTTCCTCCTCTATCTTACCCAGGAATTGTCTTCCTCCTCTATCTTACCCAGAAATTGTCTTCCTCCTCTATCTTACCCAGGAATTGTCTTCCTCCTCCATCTTACCCAGGAATTGTCTTCCTCCTCTATCTTACCCAGGAATTGTCTTCCTCCTCTATCTTACCCAGGAATTGTCTTCCTCCTCTATCTTAGGCAGAAATCGTCTTCCTCCTCTATCTTACCCAGGAATTGTCTTCCTCCTCTATCTTACCCAGGAATTGTCTTCCTCCTCTATCTTACCCAGGAATTGTCTTCCTCCTCTATCTTACCCAGGAATTGTCTTCCTCCTCTATCTTACCCAGGAATTGTCTTCCTCCTCTATCTTACCCAGGAATTGTCTTCCTCCTCTATCTTACCCATGAATTGTCTTCCTCCTCTATCTTACCCAGGAATTGTCTTCCTCCTCTATCTTACCCAGGAATTGTCTTCCTCCTCTATCTTACCCAGGAATTGTCTTCCTCCTCTATCTTACCCAGGAATTGACTTCCTCCTCTATCTTACCCAGGAATTGTCTTCCTCCTCTATCTTACCCAGGAATTGTCTTCCTCCTCTATCTTACCCAGGAATTGTCTTCCTCCTCTATCTTACCCAGGAATTGTCTTCCTCCTCTATCTTACCCAGGAATCGTCTTCCTCCTCCATCTTACCCAGGAATTGTCTTCCTCCTCTATCTTACCCAGGAATTGTCTTCCTCCTCTATCTTACCCAGGAATTGTCTTTCTCCTCTATCTTACCCAGGAATTGTCTTCCTCCTCTATCTTACCCAGGAATTGTCTTCCTCCTCTATCTTACCCAGGAATTGTCTTCCTCCTCTATCTTACCCAGGAATTGTCTTCCTCCTCTATCTTACCCAGGAATTGTCTTCCTCCTCTATCTTACCCAGGAATTGTCTTCCTCCTCTATCTTAGGCAGTCTTCCTCCTCTATCTTACCCAGGAATTGTCTTCCTCCTCTATCTTACCCAGGCTTCCTCCTCTATCTTACCCAGGAAGATCTTAATTGTCTTCCTCCTCTATCTTACCCAGGAATTGTCTTCCTCCTCTATCTTACCCAGGAATTGTCTTCCTCCTCTATCTTACCCAGGAATTGTCTTCCTCCTCTATCTTACCCAGGAATTGTCTTCCTCCTCTATCTTACCCAGGAATTGTCTTCCTCCTCTATCTTACCCAGGAATTGTCTTCCTCCTCTATCTTACCCAGGAATTGTCTTCCTCCTCTATCTTACCCAGGAATTGTCTTCCTCCTCCATCTTACCCAGGAATTGTCTTCCTCCTCTATCTTACCCAGGAATTGTCTTCCTCCTCCATCTTACCGAGGAATTGTCTTCCTCCTCTATCTTACCCAGGAATTGTCTTCCTCCTCTATCTTACCCAGGAATTGTCTTCCTCCTCTATCTTACCCAGGAATTGTCTTCCTCCTCTATCTTACCCAGGAATTGTCTTCCTCTTACCCAGGAATCGTCTTCCTCCTCTATCTTACCCATGAATTGTCTTCCTCCTCTATCCTACCCAGGAATTGTCTTCCTCCTCTATCTTACCCAGGAATTGTCTTCCTCCTGTATCTTACCCAGGAATTGTCTTCCTCCTCTATCTTACCCAGGAATTGTCTTCCTCCTCTATCTTACCCAGGAATTGTCTTCCTCCTCTATCTGAGGCAGGAATTGTCTTCCTCCTGTATCTTACCCAGGAATTGTCTTCCTCCTCTATCTTACCCAGGAATTGTCTTCCTCCTCTATCTTACCCAGGAATTGTCTTCCTCCTGTATCTTACCCAGGAATTGTCTTCCTCCTCTATCTTACCCAGGAATTGTCTTCCTCCTCTATCTTAGGCAGAAATCGTCTTCCTCCTGTATCTTACCCAGGAATTGTCTTCCTCCTGTATCTTACCCAGGAATTGTCTTCCTCCTGTATCTTACCCAGGAATTGTCTTCCTCCTCTATCTTACCCAGGAATTGTCTTCCTCCTGTATCTTACCCAGGAATTGTCTTCCTCCTCTATCTTACCCAGGAATTGTCTTCCTCCTCTATCTTACCCAGGAATCGTCTTCCTCCTCTATCTTACCCAGGAATCGTCTTCCTCCTCCATCTTACCCAGGAATTGTCTTCCTCCTGTATCTTACCCAGGAATTGTCTTCCTCCTGTATCTTACCCAGGAATTGTCTTCCTCCTCTATCTTACCCAGGAATTGTCTTCCTCCTCTATCTTACCCAGGAATTGTGTTCCTCCTGTATCTTACCCAGGAATTGTGTTCCTCCTCTATCTTACCCAGGAATTGTCTTCCTCCTCTATCTTACCCAGGAATTGTCTTCCTCCTCTATCTTACCCAGGAATTGTCTTCCTCCTCTATCTTACCCAGGAATTGTCTTCCTCCTCTATCTTACCCAGGAATTGTCTTCCTCCTCTATCTTACCCAGGAATCGTCTTCCTCCTCTATCTTACCCAGGAATTGTCTTCCTCCTCTATCTTACCCAGGAATTGTCTTCCTCCTCTATCTTACCCAGGAATTGTCTTCCTCCTCTATCTTACCCAGGAATTGTGTTCCTCCTGTATCTTACCCAGGAATTGTGTTCCTCCTCTATCTTAGGCAGAAATCGTCTTCCTCCTCTATCTTACCCAGGAATTGTCTTCCTCCTCTATCTTACCCAGGAATTGTCTTCCTCCTCTATCTTACCCAGGAATTGTCTTCCTCCTCTATCTTATCTTACCCAGGAATTGTCTTACCCAGGAATTGTCTTCCTCCTCTATCTTACCCAGGAATTGTCTTCCTCCTCTATCTTACCCAGGAATCGTCTTCCTCCTCTATCTTACCCATGTCTTCCTCCTCTATCTTACCCATGAATTGTCTTCCTCCTCTATCTTACCCAGGAATTGTCTTCCTCCTCTATCTTACCCAGGAATTGTCTTCCTCCTCTATCTTACCCAGGAATTGTCTTCCTCCTCTATCTTACCCAGGAATAGTCTTCCTCCTCTATCTTACCCAGGAATTGCCTTCCTCCTCTATCTTACCCAGGAATTGTCTTCCTCCTCTATCTTACCCAGGAATTGTCTTCCTCCTCTATCTTACCCAGGAATTGTCTTCCTCCTCTATCTTACCCAGGAATTGGGAATTGTCTTCCTCCTCTATCTTACCCAGGAATCGTCTTCCTCCTCTATCTTACCCAGGAATTGTCTTCCTCCTCTATCTTACCCAGGAATTGTCTTCCTCCTCTATCTTACCCAGGAATTGTCTTCCTCCTCTATCTTACCCAGGAATTGTGTTCCTCCTCTATCTTACCCAGGAATTGTCTTCCTCCTGTATCTTACCCAGGAATTGTCTTCCTCCTCTATCTTACCCAGGAATTGTCTTCCTCCTCTATCTTACCCAGGAATTGTCTTCCTCCTGTATCTTACCCAGGAATTGTCTTCCTCCTCTATCTTACCCAGGAATTGTCTTCCTCCTCTATCTTACCCAGGAATTGTCTTCCTCCTGTATCTTACCCAGGAATTGTCTTCCTCCTCTATCTTACCCAGGAATTGTCTTCCTCCTGTATCTTACCCAGGAATTGTCTTCCTCCTCTATCTTACCCAGGAATTGTCTTCCTCCTCTATCTTACCCAGAGATAGAGGAGGAAGACAATTCCTGGGTAAGATAGAGGAGGAAGACAATTCCTGGGTAAGATACAGGAGGAAGACAATTCCTGGGTAAGATAGAGGAGGAAGACAATTCCTGGGTAAGATAGAGGAGGAAGACAATTCCTGGGT